CTTTGCTATATCGAAGTGGCCTGCCTGCGTCCAGTCCCAGGAAGCTTCCAGTAGCCTGAGGCCCAGCACGAACGAGAACATGCCTTGGGCCTGAAGTGTTGCATGCGCCCAACTGCCTTTGGCCGGTGTTCGGCCCAGTACCCGTATCCAGCCCAGGGCCTGCTTTCCATACATTCACACAGACGGCCCAGGGCCTGGGTTCTCTCAACCAACTGGCGCTACGCAACTGCCTGAATTTCCTTGAGTTGCGTGGTGACCAAAACAGGGCCCTGAGGGCCTCGTTGAGCCTGCCTTCACTTAGGGCGGCCGACTTGCTTCAGAATGGGGCAAAAAGGGGCTCATAGAGGCATAGGCCTCACATTATGGTCTTGGCTCCTGATCCATTATGGGGAGCATCAGTCCGGTTCCTATTCCCCCGGCAAGTCAAGAATGAATAAATCAATATACACGCTCACGCTTCGTTCCGTATGGCCGAAGGACCCCTGACCAGCATCGATTACTCCTTGAAGGAGGATTGATTGTCAGCTTGCCTGTCCCTTAGTTCCCTCTCAGATTCCATATTGAAAACTGTCAGATACTGCGTTTAAAGAAAGGAGAAGGGAGATAAGCAACTGATTGGATCATGGACCGCCTCTTATGCCACTGGATTATCCCATTGGTATTTGTACATTCTGCAGCTCACTGAGTGTTACCCCGGACAGCATACAGCCGCTTGGTGGGTGGTTCCGAGGGGGTCTCGCGTACCCCTGGTATCGTGTTGTTCCTTCTGGATGGAGCCTCTCATTCCTCAGGGGGTAGCTGAATTGTGTCAGTCTTTCGATCTGATTTGTAGGGCGTGAATGTCCGCTATCTTTCCCTGGACCAGCCACACCCTTCTGAACGTGACTATCATTTCCTGTTGTTTGCCCGGGTCCTGCTGAATTTGAAGCTTGACCTTCTTCCACTGGCAGCGGATGTCAGATTCCATGAGGATTTTCGTTGATGCCCATACTTGTTCCGACGGTATGCTGGAGTTGTCAATGGTCCGATTGCACCTTTCCTTCCATATTACCCACAGTGTCACCTTTCTGGTTATCCCGAAACAGATGCGCTCCGACTTGTTGAATTGTGAGGGGAGGTTAGTCCATAGGAGTAGCTAGATGGGGTGTTCAGGTAAGGGAGAAGGAAATAAGTAGTCCCAGAGAGCTGCAGCTCTCGCCCATATGTCAGTAGCAAAGCTGCAAGTTATCAGACAGTGTAACATGTCCTCTTGTTCGTTATCAGAGCATATGGCACATTGTTCTGAACTGTTAGGGTCATTGTTTCGCCTGCGGACGTGTAACCATGTGTTCACTGGGATGGCATTGTAGGTGATTAACCATTGAAGACTTCTGATTTTGACTGGACGAATTGATTGTATTTTCTCCAAGGAAATTTGGGGATTGGTTCCATTCTCTGACCAAGCAGTTTGGTCAATCTTCCCTTGATAACCGGTTCTGGGTCCTTCGTTTTTAGTAGCATCCTATATCCCATTTTGACTGTGTACTGCATTATCGAGATGGGTGTTTTGCGAAATCTATTGCTACTCGAGAGCCAAGCCCATTCTTCTGGGTCGAATTCTAGGTTCTGGATTGGAGTTTTGGCTTGGAATATTGTTTTTGGCCATGTACCCAAAACTCTTATTTTTCGAAGTGTGTATGAGTTGAGGGTTGCTTCTTGTGGGTCAATGTTGTTGATGGTGAGAGTTTTGGGATTAGGGTGGTCTATAGGGAAGGAGGTGAAAATTGTCGATAGGTCGGCACTCGAGGATCTGCGATAAAATTGATAAGCTCTCTCCGGTATAGCTTCCTGAATTAAGACTCCCCACTCCCCCGCTTTCCATGTGAATTCTTCCTTTAGAAGCTCTTTCCAGCCATGAAAGCCATTGTTGCCCGTTAGATAGGGACAGGGGTACGTCCCCCGCATCTCTTATGCATTGGTTTCAGAAAAGGGATTGTCGTAGAACCTGTTCTTTGGACTTCAGTTTTCTTACTTTTTTCGGCATGATGCTTCTCCAGATTCGGATGAGGGCTGACCAGTAAGGGGTTGGAGAGGTGGCCCCACTTTGTTGTGAAGTCTCCTCCGCCTTCTCCTTCCTGTCTTGGGAGACCAGTCCTTATTCATGACCCAGAATAGTCCAGACATATTCACCCGTGATTGGACTGGGCCTATGGCTCGTACACTATCAAGTGCAAGCTTGTGCCAGGCCAGCCTTGGTTGAGTTAGCAGTTTAATTATCCATTTCATATGCAGGGCTTTTATTTCCTGTTTCGGGTCAATTATACCTAGCCCTCCTTTAGAAGGCTCCCTCGTTTTTGGGGATGTATCTGGTTTTGTTAGGGTCCCCTGATCATAGATACACTCGTGTTCTGCTATTGAGTTCTTTGATCGTGTGGTCAGGTATTGTCCAGATGGAGGCAATGTACCACATCATCGAAAAGATGGAGGTGTTCAACGTTAGGGCCCTCCATAGCAGGGAAGTATATTGGTCTCCCCATTTCCCCAATCTGTTGATTTGCTTAGTTAACAGGTTATGCACCACTTGCGGGGCTAGGCCTTCCTTGGAGACCATAATACCCAGGTACCTAGTTGGTTCTTCGGGTTGTTCCCATGTCATATCCGCTTCCAGTCGCTCCAGCTGGGGTCTCTCCTCTTCTGTGAGCCACCATCCTATGGTTTTTTTCAGTTGACCTTCATTTCCGAGGCTAGCCTGAATGCTTCCATCGCTCTTACTAAAGCTTTGATTGACGATCCGAGGCTCTGATTAGGACAGTGAGGTCATCCGCGAACATTATTACTGTTGGGAATTGAGTATGGTGCGGTGTGCCCATGTCAAGGTCCGGTAAACGTTGAATTGATGGGTCTTTACACAAAAAGGAGGCAATGGCTTCCATCACGAATAAAAATATAGGTGGAGCAAGAGGATCGCCCTGTCGTACTGATCGAGAAATTGGATATCTTTCGGATAACCGTCCGTTGATCTGTACACAACCGGATGCGTCGGTATAGAGGATTCTTACCCACTTCCTGAAGTTATGTCCGACCCTCATTTTTTCCATGCTTGCGTTAAGGAATGCCCAATTGACTTGGTCGTATGCCTTCTCAAAATAAAAAAAACAGTATCGTTGTATTCAATCTCTTCTCTCTTACTTTACGGGAGGCCTCGTTCAGCGTAAGGACGTTGTCCAGAATGTATCTGCCTGGGATGAATCCAAATTGGTCTATATGGAAGCACTTGTCTGTAAGGTCAAGAATTCTGAGGGCCAATGTTTTTGCTAGAATCTTATAGGGGAGAGTAAGAATAGAGATAGGCCTGTAGTTTTCAACGTATTCACAGTCTCCTTTTTTATAAAGTAGGGTCACCACGCTACTACTCATAAATTCGCCCATTCCTCCCTTTTCCCAACTATCTTGGTAGAACTATAGGAGATCATTCCCCATGACTGGCCAGAACAGGTCCCAAAATTTTTCGGTGAGTCCGTCTATGTCTGGGCATTTGTCATTGTTCATGTTTTTCAGTGTTGTTTTTAGTTCTTCAAGGGTAATTAGCTTGTCCAGCACTGCAGCCTGTTCTGTTGTAATTGTTTTGTACAGATATTGAAGCATTTTTTACCTTGCCTCTCTTACTGTTGTGGGGGGGGGGAGAGGGTTTTCTTCTGGTACAGATCGTGGTAAAACCCTTTGGCTATTTGTAGCATCCCTTCACTGTCTGTTCTGGTGTTTTGTTCACCTGTGCATTCTTTTAGACCTTCAATCGTGTTGGCTTTGTTCTGGAAAAAAAATATTTGCTCATTGATTCATTTAACTCATAGTCAGTCATTTTTGCCCTTATCTGGAGACCTCTCAGCTCCCACATTCTCCATAATGATATCTCTTCCCTAGCTTGTTCTAGGGTAGTTGTGTACAGGGGTGAATAGGGATCACTCATGAGGTTGGCTTCAATAATTTTTATGGTCGTTTCTAGATATAGTTTCCTTTGTCTGCGGTCGTTGGCTAGTTATCGGGATATTCGAGCAGTTGACTGTGATAGCGAGAGGTAGCTCTCTTAAAACCACTTCCATCTGTCTTGGCCCTCTAAGAGCATGCCTCTGGAATTAAGTCAACATTCCTGAATCCTCTCTCCGAAAGTCTGGCTTAGGAGTAGGGAGTTGTTCAGTTTGTGGAAGCTGGTTCCTTTTGTTATGTATTGGTCGAAACATAGGATTAGCTCGATGGGTTTGTGGTCGAGTACTAAATAGGGGGCAAGTGTCATAATGTCAGCTTCCGTGAACGCGCCTAACATAGATTCGAAGACTAAAAAATACTCAATCCTAGAGAAGGCTGTGTGGTGGGCGTGATTTTTCTTGACCAAGGAGAAGGCCTTTGTATCCGGATGTAATGTGCGGAAGGGGTCGAACAGGCTGTGATCCATCATTAGCTGGGTGATTGGAATTGCTTCCTGAGAAGATTGTTGAGATGCTGCTCTGGAAATTTTGTCATTACAAGGATCGATGGTTGTGTTCCAGTCCCCTGCTATAACACAAGGGGAGGCGGTTGTGATTAATCGTCCTACTGTCTGAATGAAGGTTGCTATTTCTGTGGCGTTGTTGGGAGCATAAACGTTGATTATTCCTTCCACTTCATATCAATCCAGCACCACCTGCCTGTAACACAGTTTGCTTCACTACTCACCACTGAGTCGGCTGAGTACAAGCGCGAGGATTTGGGTATGAGGATGGTTGTCCCTTTGGTGGCTGAGTTGGAGTCTGTAGCCCATATTCATCTTTGACTCCTCCTAATCTCCTTGTGAAAATTTCCTTACATTAAGGTGTTCCTCAGAGTTGGTTAGGTGTATTTCTTGCAGTAGTATGATATCCACATATTTATTAGATGGGCTTTTAAGGCCCTTAATTATATCGTTCAGTTTATCTTTTTTACTTATGACGTTCCCTAGCCCATTAATGTTCCAGCTTCGGATAGGGATCCCTTGGGTTTTCCAATTCGCTTTACCTCCTGTTTCATTTGCTGTTTTTCTTATCTCCTCCATGGACAGTCAGGTTAGGTGGACCCAAGCATATTGGAGCTCACTACTCTTAGAGACGCCCGAACCCCCCGTCTCCATAGACTCAACTGAGTCTCCCGGTTTGTCGGGTTGGGTCGAGGCCTTTGGGTCATCTATCTTGTATTCCCCTAAATTGTCACTAGTCTCCTCATCTATGGGTGTATCCGATTGTTCCTCACCCTTCTCCATGTTCCATCCCTCTGGGTCATCCTCCATTTTATCCTTTGAGGAGTAGACGTCTTTGTATAATTTGTTCATATCCACTGCCCATGCTTTTGACCCCAGGTCACCATCTCCATCGAAGGTGCCATTGTCGATCAGCTCTGCTAAAGTGGCAGCTTGAAGCTCTGTTGGGATGCCCATCCCTGACAACACGCTGTAGGGGATGGCCATCACTGTGCTCCATGGCCGCCATCTCATCCCTACCTTGAGTGTTGTGTCTTCAGGCATCTTGGCTATGATAGGAGTGAATGACCTCGGGGATCTGGGGTCTGCCCGATCCTCGTGGGACTCGTTGTGGCCTTGCTGCTCTTCTGTGTCAAGATGTTCCTCTTGTGGTTCCAAGACCAGCACCTCCTCCTGCTGAGCCATCTGGGACTCAATTTCAAATATCCCCAATGGGTAAACCGTTGTGATCTTTTCTTGCAGAATGGTGGCCACATTTTGGCCTCCTTCAATCCTAGGGATTGTGAAAGCCACATTTGTGGCTACCTGCCACTCCTTTTTCCTTTCCATGTATCTTGCTGCAACTAGTGGTCTAGTGCTCATCAAAGTCAACTTTGCAGAGTGGGCCTGTCCAAGTACTTGGGGGGCCTTTCCCTCTGCAATGTGAGTGAGGGAAATGAACTCGGGTTCGTATGCTTTGTTCAGTTTTTTCAGCTTATCGGACAGGGCTTCCACCACCGCAATTTCTTGTTCCAGCTCAGACAGGGCTGTTCTGCTTGAGGAGTCCACTCCCTTTCCCTCCCTGTTGACACCTTTCTTCTTTTGGTTTCTGTTGGTTCTCCATTTTCTTGGCCTCAAGTTCTGCAGGGCTTCTTTTGATTCCACTTGGGTGATGTCTGTATCCATGAGTCCTTGTTCTCTTGACCTCTTTTTCTCAGCATATCCGAGTGTTGTGTATTCCGTGAATTCCTCTGCCTTTACCAGCAGGTCATACTGGTTGGAGGAGGTCTTGATTCCTGCTACTGTTCCCTTCTTTTGGTTGTGAGTTCTCTCCATATGTTTTAGGCAAGCAGTCTGGATATCGAACAGGTGTTCGCGTTCTGCTTTGGCTATTTCAATGTATTCTCTCAGCCATTGAAGGGATCTTTTGGTTGGGTCGTCCTCCCCTGATTCTGAAGATGGGTCTCTGGCTTTGGATTTTCCGGTGGACTGGTCACTGTCCATCTGGGTTCCTTGTGAAAGGGGGGAGAGGGTTGGTTGCTGCTCACTTACCAACGGTTCCCCTGATCCCAATTTGTTGTCTGACGTGGTCCCTTTTCTCTTCTCGAGGTGCGGTTCACCCCCTTCCTTCGTTCTTGCGTCTTTCGTTGTTCTCTTGTTGTCAACCGAAGTTTGTTTCCTGTTTTTTGCTTGCTTCTTGCTTTTGTTCGTTTCTTTACGATTGATGAAGGCTTCCACTTTGGCCTGAATCTTTTGGGGCTGTTTCTGGTACTCTTCTTCAATTTGTTCCCGAACAGAGTCCAGATCCCACAGTAGGTTTTCCCTCACCTTTTCCTCCAGAATGACTCGAGAATCATTGAGAGGAATCGTGTTGATCTTGGCTAGGTTACCTGATTCTTTGCCTGTTGCTTTCTTTTGCCATCTGCTGTCAGCGGGAGGGAAGATTTCTGGTTTTTTCGTTGTTGGTTCCTTGTCTGAGAAGTGCCAGACCCATTCCGGGTCTTCCAGGTTATCATCGAAGACCCATCCATCATAGGCTGGGTCTACTATGAACCAGGTACCCGGTGCTTCTTCCACTTCGACCAGCATGTTAGGAAGCAACTTCCTCTCCTTCTGGCTTTTTGGAAATTTGGTGCATGTTGGGTCTGATCCCAAATGGCCCCTTTCCCTGCATCTGAAACAGATCAGGGAAGATTTGGTGGAGACCACGACTTCCAGAACTCTGTCCTCGATGTGTAACTCCCATTCGCATGGAAAGACGGGCGGGTCGTCGGCTTTTACTTCGAGGATGGCGGTCATTGTTCCAACATGTGGGTACAAAAAGTCAGGCATCGACAAAATCAGTTTTAGTATCTTGTTCGCTGGGTATTGTCTCTCTAACCTATCAACCACTAGGTCATGGTACCCTCTTTGGATCCGGTGGAATTGCCCCCAAAATTGTTCTTTGAGGAGGGTCTGTTTGCAGGATACTGAAAAGGATGGAGTTGGCCTTACGTTGGTTTGTTTTTTCCAACGATTGATAGTGCAGATTGATCCGTTGCAATTTCAGGATCTCATCTCCGCTGCAATCCTTGCGTGGTCCTCTGAGATAAAGATGACCATCACTGAATTGCGTCCCAGATTGATCATGGAGAAGGATTTGCCTGAAGTCTTGATGGTTTATGCAATCCATTTCCATTTTTTTGTCGGCATCAACTCAGCTCCGTTCATTGAGAAGTTGAAAACAACCACATGTCTTTTGTGAAGATCGTCAAGTTCCGAGACTTTCCCGTCTGGGTATTTCCAAATCATTGTTTCCTCTTCTTTGCCCTCTGCATTTGTTTGTTTTTTAATCACCATTTCCCCCTGGACTTTGGTTTTCTCAATCAGGAATTTAAGGGCGTCGTTCTCGATGATTTATGTGGAGGCTTTACTCACTTGAGAGGAGCGACCGTCTGTTTAAACGTGGCAGGCGACTTGCCTGCCCCTGGGCTCTGCATTTTCGCCCGCTTGGTTCCTGGAGTGGTTCCTAGAGTGAAGACTGGAGTGAAGATTCCCAGCCCGCAACAATACTTAGTTAGGGATGTGGAGAGGATCTATCTATTACGTGCAGAAGAACTGTCTGGTGGTTGGGGAAATTTTGGCAGGGTTTCGCCTCCCCACCCGGGGAGCGTGATTTTGCAAGGTAATAAAGCGTAATAAAGTGTGGTGTCATTTATGCAGTCAGTAAATACTTCAAGGATTACAATATTGAATCCTACTTATGCACAGCAACAGATTTCGAAAACGGATTTGGTAATTTAGTGAATACACAATTTAAAAGGAGTACCTAATCTCCCCGCCTGGGGAACGACGCGTTGTCCAAATAGATGTGGTTGCTTAAGCAGTTTGGCCCTTACTAATCTCGTTGGTGAGCGGTTGCTTTGGAGGATAGTATTTACAAGCTGTTATATTTTCGACAAGATGGGGGGGACTGGGATGTGGGTCGATCAGTGTAGATTATGGGATTGGGCGTAGCGATTTGATGGATAGTCGTAAGGTATGCTGGGGCGGATTGGGGAAGAAAGGGAAGGGGGGGAGGGGAGGGAGGGAGGGCGGATGGAAATGTTGGAGGATCCCGATAAGCGGGGCACCTTAAGACTTCTTGTTTGCGGATGAGGGATATTAGGGTGGTCGGGACTTGCAGGTCTGGAGGGGAACGGGGGGGGTTAGATTTAACGCAGGGGGCAGGATGTTAGTTTGAGGGGGCTCGGAAGGGGAGGAATAGGGGGCTCGATCGGGGATGGAGTTGTGAGGGTAGGAGGGAAATTTGAGGGGGATCGGGAGGATCGGGAGGGGGGGAATGGGGGGCTCAATCGGGGATGGAGTCGTGAGGGTAGGATGGCAATTTGTGGGGGGTCGGGTGGGAAGGGAGGCTCGATTGGGGACGGAAACTTGCGAGTAGGATGAGACTTTGAGGGGGGATCGAGAGTGGTGGCGAGCACGATCAGGGATGAAGGATCGGGAAGGGGGGAATGGGGGGCTCAATCGGGGAAGGAGTCGTGAGGGTAGGATGGCAATTTGCGGGGGATCGGGTGGGATGGGGGGCTCGATCGGGGATAGAATCTTGCGAGTAGGATGGGACTTTGAGGGGGGATCGAAGGTGGTGGGGGGCATGATCAGGGATGGATTTGTATGGGCCCTGTTAGCGGCATGTGGTATGAGGTTTGTGATAATGGATTATTGGATTATTGGAGGGAGATAGAATGCTTCCGATAACTGGAGGAGGGGGAGGGGGGGGGATGCAGAATGGGAGTGGTGTGAGATTGGGGGGGGGGGAGGTTTTGTTCGACGGGAGAGACAGTGAGACTTGGAGTGGGGTGGGAGTAGAATAGGCGGCGGGATAGGTTCCGGGATATGTCGATCTAAAGAAAGGAAAATGTGAAGGCCCTATTATAGAGTTCAAAAGAAAGAAAATCGAAGTGTCGCTCATCCACCAATAAGGCGTAATCCTTTCCTAATTACCCACGTTAAGCCCCAACTACTTAAATAACTAGATTCTAACCGTTTCTTTGACATGCTTACCTATGTTTCCCTTAGGTCCTGCTTATACAAACAAACGTCCAGCAAACACCTCTCATCACTATACAGAGTCTCTCCTTCTTACAGTATTATTCCTGAAAGGTAGTCTTCAAATCATACATCGCTCACTTCCAGTGTCTAAGACCATTCAAAAGCAGATGATATTATACTGCGATAATAATGCATTTGCGACTTTTAAATATTGAATGTCACAAATTATTATAATAATTGTTACCTATAATAGGGACATACTGTCATAGTAATGACAATAATCAATAATTATAATAATTGAGTAAGCAAATAGTATTAGCAAGCAAAAGACAAGTTTAATTGGCATATGCGTGCATAGTGATGAGGAGAAACTTATGGTAACTGTTATAATAGACAACAGTTATTCTGTGGTCAATAAATTCTCCAACGATAAATATTTTTCGATGCAAAAATAATGAGAATACTACATTCTACTCCCTCGGCTTTGACAGGAGTATCTTGTGTCAAGGGGAAGTGTAATCCCTTAAAAGGGTTAACATCTTAGACTCTCGAACCCCGCTCAAGGACCAAGCCTCACTGCTTCACCCTCTGATTCCAGCATTCGTTCCGTGCAGACTTTTGTCAATTAGTTGACAACCCCACCATACACGTTCCAGGAAGTCATATCCCATCTCGTGCTGATGAACCCACTTGTCACAAAGATAGCTAGGGAATCACCCCCTGCTTCCTTGCGGCAGGTAGTGGTCGCCTCCGTCATTGACCATAGTCTAACAAGGCTCAAATACTTTCCTCCTTCTCAGTAGTAATGTAGTCACCAGTCTTCAAAGGGTCAGGTGACAACACCCCAATATGGACCAGGAACATTAATTCCGGCGCGGGTCTCACTACTACTTTAGAAGACAAATTTATAGTTCCTTCAAGTCATCTGTTAGGGAAAGGATAATTTAGGATCGCAACTTCTCCAAAGGTAGATTCTACACACTGACCACCTTTTGAGAAAATTTCTTCCCCCCAAGAAACCGGTCACTCCATTCACCTTCAACCCCTCGTCGAACGTGGATTTTGCGTAGTATCTCTACTCTTTATAAGGAGAGCAATCCGTCGCATAGGTTCAAGCGAAATAGTTATAAACGGGTAGTCATATTTGATTAGCTTATAAGGATGGATTAAGATGCGCAGTCTTAAATAAATAAACTCAGATGGGTAACTCAGACGAGTAACCATTAATAAAAATGCATCAGATAGATAGTTTCATATAAATAGTATAAAATAGGCTTGACTCGATTAAACCGACGCAAATGGATAAATTTACATAGATAAGCCCAGATGACTAGCCTTTAAAGGAAGATATTTTAACGCTTAATTAGATATGTTCAGGTAGATGGTCTTAGACGAGATAAGTTCTAACAGATAGCCTCATACCTGAATCTTGCCATGCAGTTAAACATGAACAAGATGATTTAATACCAAACTCCTCACTACCTTACTGATTACACTCAGGTTCAAGAACCTTTGCCTACCCCTTACAGATGAAACCAAACTCTAAAATTCTCCCAAGGACGGACTCAACCCACGTTGATTCTTTCCTAAAATTAAAAACCCATAACAAATGAGGATCCTTACTTACACTATTCACGTTCCGACCTCCTTGCATTCCCGAACATATTTTGGACTCATTAGTATCCTA